GTGTTAATGTACTTCATTAGAACACTTTAAAACATATTATGTTTTTGTATTTACTTTTGCAAAAGAACACACTATGGCATATAAATTAAAGTTATAAAACCATTGGAAACCTCCTATGAAAGAATGATCTGCACATACATCAGTGCCTAAACTTAGATGATGACTCTCCCAGGAGTTTAGCCAACATTTCAGCCTGAGGCTTTTTTTTTTTTTTGCCTTCTGTTAACAGGTTTTTTTTTATTATTATTGCTTAAAATATTACAAAGAGTAGTACATTTGTCTCCCTTTTTTCCCTGGATTTCAGAAAGGGAGAGAGAGAGATAGAAACATCAATGATGACAGAGAATCATTGATCGGCTGCCTCCTGCATGCCTCCCACTGGGGATCGAGCCCACAACCCAGGCATGTGCTCTTGACTGGAATCAAACCTGGAACCCTTCATTCCACAGGCCCAGGCTCTATCCACTGAGCCAAACCAGCTAGAGGTCTATCTTTGTTTTCTATTGAATACCCCTTGTAGGCAGAAAGTAAGCAAACTAGGCGAAAGTGAGGGGCTGCATTATTATTGCTATTGCCCATATAACCACAAAGAAAAAGAGCAAAAAATGACTTTCCCAGAGTCATCTGATCCGTGGCAGAACTGGAAACCAACCTCAGGCCTTCTTACCCTTTTCCTGGCCTCCAACTGAAATATATTTAGCACTCCCTTCTCTTCTGAGACACGCCCTGCTTAATTTTTTAACAGTTTTATGATTGTTTACATGACAAGCCTAGGGCTGTTTATACAGCTGATGACAACAGTTTAATGAGAAAAATCATTTGAAGGGAAAACCAACACTGGGCTGAGAAAAAAAAAATCTTATTTCAAGAAGGAGGCTTCTGGAAAACTACAGGGTTGATGAAATGGAGGGAGAAGGTGTCAAATTCCTTGCTCCTTACTAAGGACTTGATAATCAGATTCCTGAATAAACAAACATTTGAATAGAGTGTTTGTGTTGTTAAAAAATAAAACAAAACAGCACTTGCCTCATATTCAAGATGTGTGGGTGAGTTCCCCCAACGTGGAAAGGCTGGGTAGTGGAATGAATAAGCAAGTAGACATTAAACTCAACTGCCTGCATGCAAATCCCGGTTTTGCCATTTATTAGTTCTGAGATGGGGAAAATCACTTAACTTCGGCATATTTCAGTTTCTTCATCTGCAAAAAGAAGACATGTCATTGTATCCATCGTAAACTTCCTGTGAGGATTAAATGAGCATCTGGTTAATAAGTTGGTATCATGGGGGGGGGAAAGTTGAATTAATTTCTCACACCTGAAAAATTACTAGAAGAAAACATGGGAGGATTTACTTTATAATCTTAGCTGCTCGGGGCCCTTCTAAGTATAACACAAAGTGCATAACAAAGAAACCATAACAAAGAACATAGTTCAATTCATTATCTAATCTAAATGTTTTTTTCATTCTGCGTGTCAAAAATGCTATAAATATAATGAAATATTGTGCAATTCATTGCTCTATTGTAATCAGATGACAACAGGAATAAATGTGGGAGCAAAAATGGCAAGCAAAAGAAAGTATACTACATGATTTCATGTAGGCAAAATTAATGGAAGTGTTAGAAGTCAAGGGAAATATTGTCTTGAGGTATAGGAAAGGCATAGAAATGGGGATGGGGCTTGAGGGCACCTGCCAGTAGGTAGTATTGTGTCTTACTGCCACTTGTATTTTGCCTTTGTCATTGGTTGTGATTACAAAGATATGTTCAAAGTATTTGTTTCCTGATTGTGGTAGTAGGTATACAGATCCAAACGTGTTAAAACTCGCAGATCTGTACATGGGAAGTAAGATTCATTTTTACTGTATATAAATTGTAAAATAATAGTTTGCCATGAAAACAAATAAATAGGCACAAAATACAAAAAAGAATGAGCTAGCTCTATGCATACAAATATGGGGAAATCTCAAGATATTTTTGTTAAGAGAGAAATCAAATGCAGTGTATATAGCATGCTACCATTAGTGTGATTAAAAATGAAAATGCTGATTTTTTTTAACTTTAAAAATGGCAATTTCATGTGGTTCAATAAATGTACCTACTAGTATATAATGCTTTCAACAATAAAGATTTTTTAAAAATAAAAAAATGTATGTATGTAAATTTGTAAACACACAGATATGCAGAATATATCTAGAAAAACACATAAGAAACCAGTGAAGTAGTTGCATCAGTGAAGGACACTAGGCCGCTGGAAGTATCAGCATTGAGATTCACTTTTATGTCCTTCTTATCTTTTTAATTTGTTGGAGAGGAGAATTCCCCCCTCTCTACCCTGCTATAGTTCTTACAGCTGGACTAATAATAAAACTAAGATTGACACAAGACTACATTAACAGGGGGGGAAAAACAATTCAATACGTGTGCATAGGAGAATCACAATAGATTGCTCAGATCCTAATATGAGGCATCTTTATACTTTTTAGGCAAAGAAACAATAAGTTTGTGAAGAATGGACAGGACAAAGAGGCGGGGAAAGGTTAGTGCTCATTAGAAAAGACTGTAAGCAAGGTTTGGGTATTTGTTAATGAGGAATTTAAACAAAGTAGTAAATTAGAAAAGAGGCAACAAGTCTTGTTTATACAGACTGTTTGGCTCTGAGTTGCTTAACTCTAGCAATAAGAGTTGTCCTCCAGGTGCAGGGAGGACACCTGTCACATGAAAGATTTATTTCCTTCTCTCAAACGGACAAGGGAGGGTCAAGGTGTTTTTCTGGCACCAGCTGCTTGTCAGGTAACCTGAATTCAAAGCCATCAATATGCCATTGTGGGCTATTCCCAGTGGCCTGTCTTGGGCCCCAACAAACTCACATCCCTAGCATGTATTAACTATCCTAAAAATGTTAACATGTTGAAGAAGAAGTAGGCAATGGAGCATTACCTTCAAAATGTTATAGAAAAATTGTTTTCCACCTCAAGTTCTTTTTGAGCCAAATAATCGATCTTGTATGTGTCCATAAGTACTTAGGAAAATTTCAAAGGAGACACACCAAACTATTAGTTGTGGATAGGTCAACCCTGAATAGTTTAATTAAACTGGAGGAGTACAAATTTCACTGTATTTTGTGAGTTTCTTTATGTTTTCAATATTTGAAATCCTATATAATAAAAGCCTAAAATGCAAATTGTTTGACCGGGAGTTCTACTGCTCATTATGATGTGCGCTGACCACCAGGGGGCAGTTTGGAGCATGGTGGGCGTCAGCGATGTGGCGCTGGCAGCAGGTGGCAGAATAAGCGCTGTCGGCCCCAACAATCATGGGACCATGGCAGGATGGTGAAGCAGGTGAGCAGGTGGCGCCAGACCAAGGTGGGTGCAAGGTGATCCCTCTGCCGATCATCCCACAGACAGTGAGCAGTGGTGGTGGTAGGGGACAGGACTGCCACCTGGTTCCCAGGTGCTGAGGAAGCCGGGCAGGGGGAGTCAGCCCACCCCCCGCCCCAATCGATCGCCCTTCATGCAGGATGGTGGAGCAGGTGAGGAATGGCGCCAGGCCACTGCGGGTGCCAGGCAGGGCTGCGGGGCTGCGAGGCTGTGGGTGTGAGTTGAGGCTGCGAGCCTGGGGGCACGAGCTGGAGCCTGATCCCCACAGGCCACCCCAAGGGACCCCACCTGTGCACAAACTCATGTACCAGGCCTCTAGTCTGTATATAACACTTTTACATAACCAAGATGTGGCTGAACCCCAGAGGTAGGTGCTGCCCCCTTCCACCTCCATCTCAGGACAGGATAGTACTTTGACTTTCCAAAGGAAAACAGGCTCCCTTGTACAATCGAGAAATATGGATATTTTACTCCAGAGTCCAGAATTTCTAGAGTCTAGATTTTTTAGGGGGAACAAAAGTCATGATTTCCATTGTCTAGTGCGCAGTCCTTTACTCCAACTCATCTTATTAAACCGACCTTTTCTACCAAACAAACCACCTACTCACTGACTTAGGGTCGCCATCAGTCTCCCCATGCAGATATCAGCCTTGTTTGGCTCAGCCTTTTCCACCTGGTCCAGGGCCTCTGGCATCTCTGTGTCTCCTCCCCTGAACCACAGCCCCCTCTGCACGCCTCTCCAATCTTGCTGTCTCGCATCTATCTCTTCACTCCGTCCTCCTGGGCAGGAAAGGCCATTGTTACAGGGAAGCTGCATTTGCACTCAGCAAACCAAGGATCCTCTGGTTACTAGGCACTACCTCCTTAGGAGGAAGAAAAGGAATTGTAAACAATAAGTCTTTTTCCAGCATCAATCATTATTTAAAGAATCCCACTTGTAATTTAAAAAAATTAGAGCTAAAAAATAAAGCCTTTTCCTGACCTTTTCCTAACCATAGAAATTTGTTTTTAACACATGAGCTAAGGATCTTTACTGAACAAGGGTTTCCAGGCACTAGGTTCCTTCCTATTGGAATAGAAGAAGACAATTAAAGTGGATGAGGCATATTAAAAGAATCAGGCTTCGCTTTTCAACCCAGGAACAAGAGGACAAGTGTTGCACATTTGTAAGGGTCTGGGATGCTTGTGGCTGCACCTTTTAGACCCTCAGAGAATGAGCGTGTGTGCCCACCTTGTACTAGGAGCAATTACCCACCAGTTGCTTTCCTTGGTTGCCATGGCAGCCAGAAGGGTCTTGAGTCACTCTCTCCTCACTCCAGGCAGACAATGGGGCCTCTAGTCTCAGCCAAAAGCCCCACCCACCCCGCCTCCAGCAGCTTGTGAAAGGTGGAGAAGCATTCCTTTCCAGAGAGTGCTTTCAACTTGGACAACTCCCCCAACACCAATTCCACAGCTCCCCGAGGGGCACACCCCAGTTCCAGATTCAACCTCCAGAGAAACCAGAGACGCCTACCCTGCACTGTGCCTCAGGATCATCTACCCGGGAGGCCCAGTACAATGCTCGTCTCCTGATCATCGGACAGCTGAAAGGTGATGGACTTTAACAAACACTCATGCGATATTCTGAAAAAGTAATTTTCTTTATTTTGGATGTTAAGGCTTACATCTCATTACAGAACCAGCCTGCAAAAATCACACTTGGTAAACTGTCCCAGAATTCTGTTCTTGCTCTATTTGAAAGGGCCTTATTCAGAGTGAACTGGCCCCCTACGTGAACAGTCTTTGAGGGGAAAAGACAGTCTCCCTTGTCTTTGCCCACTGTGTATGAAAGAATTGCCTGTCCTCCTGGGCCAAGGGTCAGATGCCAAGGCGAGCTATAGCTCAGCAGTGTGGGATGACTGTGAAAATATTGACATTTGACAATAGGCCCCAACCACCAACTGTGACAATTCAGTAACTGCCCCACCCCAGACAGGTGAGGGATGCAGCCAAAACAAGTTGTTGCCAGAGAACTTATTTCTGTTGTGGGACAAATCCTCTGACCTCCATCTTAGGCAGCTGCACAATAACACTGACTTGTTTGTGACTTGCTGACAACCAGAGAGAATCAAACGCTGCCATGCAGGGAGCTGGATTGTCCTCAGTAACCTGCCCTTTTCTCTATTTACACAACTTTCCCACCAGAGTGGAGGACATCAGCTTTCAAAGGAAAGTGCTATTAGATGCCTCCTGGTCTCCATTACTTTCCGTGAGGTGCCTTGACTTCAAGGTAGTCTACCAAGTCAAGTAGTGTTGGCCTAGTTCTCAAATGTTCTCTCTCCTCCAACTCCCATTTTCTGATAGCTCCATGTAACAGCCCAGATCCATGCAGGAAAACATACCAGGTATGGGGACCTAGTTACATAGCTATTGGGAAAACCAAAAAGCCAAACAAAGGACAGTGAGGCAACCTAGAGCTTAGTAAGAGCAGGGAGCTGCTCCCATCCCTAGGGCTGGAGGCCCTAGGGCAGGACGCGGTGTTAACAGAGTCCAGGACAGGACCAGAACCTCAGAGGTGGAGCCACCTCAACGTAGACACTCCGGCTCCTCCCACCCTCAGTCATCCCGGGGTTTTCCACTGGCAGCACCCAGTTGGCAAAGGAGCCTGGGAACTGTTGTTGTAGGGTCAGCCCCTTTCAATTCCAGGAGTAGAGAGAAGAGCTGCGAACAAACAGAAAATGACAGTCACTCTCTGAAAATGTCATTTCTACAACCAATAAAAGCTCAACATCTTCTACAAGTGGATTCTGCACTCTTAGATTAGTGCAAAATTCATAGAGCAGACCGGCCGGTGTGGTTCAGTGGTTGAGCACCGACCTATGAACCAGGAGGTCACGGTTCAATTCCCAGTCAGGGCACATGCCAGGGTTGCAGGCTCAATCCCCAGTAGGAGGTATTCAGGAGGCGGCAAATCAATGATTCTCATCAGTGATGTGTCTATCTCTCCCTCTCCCTTCCTCTCTGTAATAAAAATTATATGTTTTTGTTGTTTTGTTTTTATTCACTGAGTAAGAGAGTCAGGCACAAGATGGAACCAATGACTTGCCCATTGTTAACCAAGGAGATTCTTGGAAAACTAGTTTGGGGAAATGTTAGCAGTTGCAAGAGGGAGGGAGAAAGGGAAAGAATCTGAGAAAACCGGGGTGTTTTTAGCAGAGATTAGATAAGACCTGATTTGCATTTTTACAAGAGAAACCTGGTTGTGATTTAGAGCAAGTTTTCTAAAGCTTTAATGTGCATACATCACCTGGGATCTTGTTGAACTGCAGGTAACAGCAGGTGGGGCTGGAGCCTGAGATTCTGCATCTCTATCAGGCTCCTAGGTGAAGTCGATACTGCTAGTCCATTGACCACACTGAAAGCAAGGATTTAGAGAGAGACTTGAGTTTATGTAAATGCTGATTGGAAAGGTCCAGGAGGGAGAAAGTGTTGATGCAGAAAGAGATAAAGATGAAAGACTCCTGAGAATGGGGTGGGAATATGATGCTGGGCATAGATGAAGGGACTGATCCTCTATGAAAACAGGAGGGAGCAGAGATGTGTGTAGAAGCAGGAAGTTTAATGGGAGGTTGATCAATGTTAAGCAGATTTCAGATCATGTAGGTTTCTTAACTAAGGTTCCTTTCAGGACCTTTACTATATTAAGATGTATTATGAATCAATCAGAGGTTTCCTAATCATGATTGACAGCAGAACCCCTTTTCATGGATCATCAAGGGGACTTGTGCTCTGGAAAACATACCTTGGAAAACCCTGACCTGCCTAATATATGCCTGAACTTTCCTAGCCATTAAATGGAGACAGTAAGATCTTATCTGACAACCAGAGGCCCAGTGCACGAAAATTCGTGCACTCAGGGGGACAGGGAGGGTCCCTCAGCCCAGGCTGCACCCTCTCTCAGTGCGGGACCCCTCAGGGGATGTCCACCTGCCAGCTTAGGCCTGCACCCTGGGGGATTGGGCCTAAGCTGGCAGTCAGACATCCCTCTGGCAGGCTGGGAGCCCTCGGGGGATGTCTGAATGATGGCTTAGGCCGGCTCCCCACAGACCTAAGCTGTCCGTCGGACATCCTTAATGTTGCCACAGAGGCGGAAGAGGCTCCCACCACTGCCACCGCGTTGGCCAGCCATGAACTGGCTTCTGGCTGAGTGGCACTCCCCCTATGGAAGTGCACTGACCACCAGGGGGAAGCTCCTGTGTTGAGTGTCTGCCCCCTGGTGGTCAGTGTGCATCATAGCAACCAGTTGTTCCACCATTGGGGTCAATTTGCATATTACCCTTTTTTTATATAGGATTACTTCATAACAATGTTAATTACCTTGCTGAATTCACCAGAGCTCTCCATCTTGCAGGCTCAGAGACTGTTTCCTCAACACACTGAAAGGAGACAGCTCTCAGAAGTTAGTACAATGAGCTAGTATCTCAAGATAGAGACATAAAGTGTATTAATCTATAACAATGAGGGCTATCTCTATCACATGGGCCTTTATAACCTTATTCATTCATTCATTCAAGAGTATTTATTTTTATTGATTTCAGAGAGAGGAAGGGAGAGGGAGAGAGAGATAGAAACATTAATGATGAGAGAGAATCATTGATTGGCTGCCTCCTGCAACGCCCCCTACAACCTGGTCATGTGCCCTGGCCAGGAACTGAACCAGCAACCTCCTGGTTCATGAATGTACACTCAATTACTGAGCCACACTGGCTGGGCAAGAGTATTGATTAATTGCCTGTTATATATTGGGCTATGAAATGGCAAAAGATCTCAACAGCATAAATAAGTGTCCTTCATGGGAAGGGACAGACAGATCTCATTCCAGTGACATGAGAAGCTTGAGAGGCTGCCGGGGGATTAAAGGTTGTAAAGGACTGCCTGCAGAGAGAATGAGATGAACATGCAACGAGAAGTGGGGGCAAACTACTTTGAGAACTGGATGGAGAGAGAGTCCTGTTGACAATGAGTCCATGGTTCCGGTCCCTGAGACACTTGGTTCTTTGGCTTTTCCTCCCACCTTCTAAGTTCACCCTCGAACTGATAAATTCTCTCTGGGTAAGCTGGTTTTCGTCAGGTCCCTCTGTAACTGACAGAATCCTGATCTGTATGCGGGGAATGTAACGTGACTGGATCTGGCTACATTTGAAGCCATTTGGAGCAGCTGGTGTTCCCTCATGACTCATGAACATTAACAGAGAAGATGAAAGATACAAGCCAGGCAGGAGGGCTTTTCAGGCTAACATCTGCAAGATCTGAGAAAGGAGACTAAAGAATGGCACTTTCCTCTCTGTGTCTTGACAAAGGATAGTGTTACCTCTTTACAAACAAGAAGGGTAGACTTGAGCTAGTATTTTATTTTATTTTTTAATTTTTTTATTTTCAAGAAAGACGATTTTAAATATAATAATGTTACATGCAATAAACATTCATATTTCAAGAAAAACTATTTTAAATGCAAAATATTACATGCAATAAAAATTAATATTTTGATTGAGCTAAATATTTTAGTCTTTTAAATATTTGGTCATTGAATCCATCAGTACCAGCCTGTTGCCTTAGTAAGGCTTAGCCATTGGTTCTTTCTTGTCCACAGCTGCAGCCCAGGTTCACTCATAGCCTGTTAAAGGAGGCATCTGACCAGCTCCGCCCCCCAGGCTATGCATCAGCTCAGATGGTGTTACCTCATTCTGGCTGCGGTGACCCAGGTCTGATAACTGAGCTCTGGTCTCATCAACAGGATCACATCCCCAATGTTCTGATTATGCATTTGGCTTTTGCTTTTCTCCGTTCCTGAATTCTCATTCTAGTATGTCACCTAGCATCTCATTCTCCCTCCTCCTCCTCTATGGACCATAGCCTTGCTCCTCCCTAAGGCCAGTGACCAGCAGTTTGCCACCCCCTGACCCATCTCCCTGGATTCAGCTCATTCTGAGTTCCTATCTTCCTACCATGCACATTGTAATGATCTCAGGAGGCTTGATTAATAACCTGCTACTCTCCTTTCAGGTTCTGAGCCAACTGAGAGATAAACACAGGAGTCAGGCAGATGGAGGACAAAGTATCAGTTTTATAACTAATGAGAGTGATCAGGAGTAAGAGGCATGTAGTATGCCTCACGCCCTTGTTAATAAGCTTCACTCCAGAGCTAAACGAACTCTTCAGCAGAGGAGGAGGCATGGCTTTCTGCTCCAGCCTCTGCGCCCTGATGATGGTGGCAGGGCTTGGGCGAGGCAGCTGCCAGAACTATGTCCCTATCACCCAGTTCCTAGTGACAACTGCCCTGGTGGGCTTTACCTGGTGTCTTCATTGGGTTCCCCCAGAAGCAGATGCTGAGACAATGACTCAATGCACGTCATTCATTTGGGAACTAAAGAAACACCAGAAGGAGGGGAAGTGAAACAGTATGGGAAAGGCACACAGAAATGGGGACATTATCCAGCCATCTACCCTGGGGACGACTGGAGCTCGGTTGTGATCCTGTGAGCCAGTATAGACTCACACTCAGGTATCCCACCCAAGGGAGAGGAGCTTTGGTATTTATACACTAACTTCCATGAGTCATTGGTTGAAGGCTAGTGGAGATGAAGCAAGGGGAGGGGCAGTAATTCTTGGACACCTGCAGCCTGCCACACAGGTGTGCAAAGTGGGCTTCAGTGGCCAGAGAACTGCCCTCAGGCAGAGTGGCAGCAGCTGGCAGTTGGAAGTTGGGCTGCTGTGCACTAAGGGGAAATGGATAAAACACCCCCTCTGTCTTTGGCCTCTGGATTCTATCTCTGACCCCCAGGAGGAGAATCTGAGCTCCTCCTGCTTCCTGTTCAGGAATGACTATGACTCAGACTCATGCCACCTCCTCCTGCACCACCAGCACTGGCAGCACCTCCCCACCCCACCCCGAGGCCAGTCAGCGTCTGACTAGAGCAGGACCAGCCCCTTTGGCAGCAGCTGTTGGAAGGCCAATGAGAGTGCAATCACACGGCTGTTATCAGAGGACTTTCCCCCAGATGAGAAATAACCTGTAATTGGGAAGCTGAGGAGGAAGGTAGAGAAGTGTCATTTCCCATACAAGCTCTGAAATAAAAAGAAATGTTTCTAAAGTAGCAATAATTTAAAAAACACACACACGCAAATTTTGAGCAACCATGCAAGAGGAAAGACTGAATTACTTCTATTCTCTTTATAGAAGACTAGAGGCCTGGTGCACGGATTCGTGCACCAGTGGGGTCCTTCAGCCTGGCCTACTGGGATCAGACTGAAACCAGCCCTCTTACATCCCCCAAGGGGTCCCGGATTGCGAGAGGGTGATTCTCAGATGGTGCACCTCAGAATCAGGCTCCCTCCTCTCTGGTTCTGAGCGCACCACCCGAGAACCGCAGCTGCCAAATCACTGCAGCTCATAGCTCCTGCGTTGAGCATCTGCCCCCTGGTGGTCATTGTGCATCACAGCTACTGGTTGGACCGTCAGACAGTCGTTTAGGCTTTTATATATATAGATGGCGTTATAAAATTGGTGTCATAGGAAGAGGTAACCAAAGAGTAGACAGTCATAAAACAGGAAAATGTACTTAGAGTAGCATACTGAGCTCTTAACAATTCATTTATATCCTCAGCTTCTTTCTAATAGGACGCAGAGGCTGGATGAGACAGCCCTGGCATCCGCTCCATGCTCTGTCTAGTGTCACCACCACTCTTTGGCATTCAGGCACTTTATCTAGGTCTTACTCACTGGGCCATTCCCTTTTCTCCATGGTCCCCCCTGAAATCCTAGTAGATATATGTCTGAACTATAGGGACGGATAGGGATCCAAGGTGCTCCCAGAGAGATTCTGAATTTGAAATGTGGATCAGTGGGAAGGGGTGCTGCCCAATCACTCTGCCAAAAGCACTGCACCCCAGCTCATGCCCGGTGACACCACGATAGTAGTCGCCGTTGGTACTCCCCCCAGTGCTGAATTTGGAGCTTTGTGGGTTCTGTGACCTGTGCTCTGCCCTGGGGAATGGCCCTTGCCTGAGAGGAGCCACCTCTCTGGATCTCCCTGGAGATTATTCCCACTCCCCACAGGGCAGCCGATGACTGACCATCACTGGAATGCAAACGCATCAGGGCAGGGCATCTCTGTGTTATGATTTACACTTTACAACGCTGCCCAGTATAACTTTCCTGTGCTGATGGAAACACTTGTCTGCTCTGTTCAATATGGTAGCCACTGGCTCTATGTGGCTATCAAGTACTTGACATGAGACTAAAGAAATGAATTTTAAATGTGTATTCATCTTAATTAATTTTACTTTAAATAGCTACACGTGGTTAGTGGCTACCATAATAGACAATGCAGATCCGGAACCTCACCGTAACCTGATGGCTAAGGACAGAGTTTGCCTGAGGCCACTTCCTTATTCACCTCTTCCCCTTTTCCTATCCTATTTCGCTCCCTCTTTTACTGGCTTCTCATGAGAGCACAACCTCAACCAGTCATGTGCACTTGAATCCCTATTTCAGTATTTCCTTCTAGGGAATCCACCTGAGATATTATGTTACATTTTTTAAATAGAAAATCACAGAAAGCTTAAACCCTGAATCAAATGTGCATACATGGCCCTGGCTGGTGTGGCTCAGTTGGTTGGAGCATCGTCCCATACACCAAAAGGTCTTAGGTTTGATACCCGGTCAGGGCACATACCTAGGTTGCAGGTTTGGTCCCCAGTTGGGTTGCATAAGAGAGGCAACTGATTGATCTCTCTCTCTCTCTCTCTCTCTCTCTCATTCCCTTCCTTTCTCTAAAATCAATACTAGGTAAGGATTTAAATATATATGTTTTTTTAAGTGCACATACAAATTCAGTACAAGTCATAATATTTTAACAGAAAGTATAAAACAATCTCAAGTTCATTGGGTTAAACAACAAGGAAATGGATTATCCCGCATCTGAAAGTTCAAGGAAAGGACAGCTCCAGAGCTGGATAATTAGGTGGCTCAACAACATCCTCAACATTCTTCCCATCTGGTCGCCATGTCACCCTGGTGGACAGCCTTCATTTTTGGACTAGTCCCTCCCTCGCTGTCACAAGGTGGCTGCCCCAGTGCCAGCCTTCACATCTAGATACATCCATGTCCGTGGGGAGGGGCAAGGGGAGGGTGGAGATACCATGTTTTCCAGTGTGTCTCTTTTGGGAGCAATCTTTCCGGAAGCCTCCTACAGATGTCCCCTCGATCTCTCTGGTCAAAACTGCATCACATGGCCACATCCAAACCAATCCTGGCAAAGGGGGATGGGAAAACCATGACCGCCACAGAACAAACAGGACCTGCCCTGTGGGTCCCAAAGCACACGGCTGAGCAGAGAAGGGTGAATACCTAAATACAACACAGCACCTGCGTGTATGGGTTAGGAGCTGGATGAAACGGATGTTACAGGATCACTGTCTCCATTACAGGTTTCCTTAAGCCAGCTCCTCCTGCAATGTGTTCTGTGAACCAACTACATGGAAAGCAGTTAGAGGGCTTGCTAATATGCAGATTCCTAGGCCCAAGGCACTGTCTGAAACATGGCAGGCGCTTAAGAGACATTTGTTGGAAGGAAGAGAGGGAGGGAGAGACAGAGGCCTATTGCATAAGAATCATCCTCAGGTGGCTTTTCTGCTCACTAACCCTGGAGACACACTAACCTAAAGCTGAAAACGAAAGCTTCACCTCTGGTCCCTTCTTCATTACCAATCTCCCGGCAGAGGGGAGGCAGTTGTGAACCATGTTGCCACCTGGTGCCTCTTTGCTCTAACACGTTCAGTGATGTTACGATGACAAGAGTGCCTATCCGTTGTACTTAGCATGCATTATTAACACGGCTTTCAGCTTCACTCGCTGAATCCACGATTCCTGTTACAACGCTTCATGAAACATAAATGAGTGTGATAATAGCTTCCACTTTGCGGACTAATATATTGAGAAACATCTAAGAAGACTTAAGTGTGAGGTTTGTGAAAAGCAGTATCTGGGACCTCATGGGAACCCAGCTCGTGTGGCTCAGTGGTTGAGTGTCGGCCTATGAATCAAGAGGTCACAGTTCGATTCCCAGTCAGGGCACCTGCCTGGGTTGTGGCTCAATCCCCAGTGTGGCGCGTGCAGGAGGCAGCCGATCAATGATTCTCATCATTGGTGTTTCTCTCTCTCTCTCTCTCTCTCTCTCTCTCAATACAAATATATTTTTTTTTAAAAAGAGCTCATGGGTGATTTGGCACCTGGAAAGCAGCTGCCCCACCAGTAAACTATTTATCTCCTAAATGACTCTAAATCAAGCATGTCAAACTCAAAGGCTAACATGGACCAAATAAACAAGGTTTAAGTTTATGTGGGCTGCAAAAAAAAAAAGCTTAAATTTTCATAGAAACATAGGTTTATTTCAATAGAGATATGCTGAACACAAAGGCCTGAAATAAATGAGTAATCATTAACATAAAATAATAGAACATTTAAGTAAAAATTAAGTTTTTCTTGAACATTAACTTACCAGACACTGAATAACTGCACAAGTTAATAAGCATCTCCAAAAGCAAAATATTCCCTGTTGTGCACACCAAACAAGTCAGTCCAAGACTAATGAGGGGGCAAACGGCTGCTAAAATATTCGCTGTTGGTATTAGTGGAGAGAAATGGTGCACCTGCGTGTAAGGCACGTAAGGGAAATGAATGCAACGGGATTATGGTAATCAGTCATTAGCGAACATTGTAGTTCATTATTAATAATTATGTATAACAGGATATTGTAAAAATTAAGCTGCGAAATTTTAATTAAAATGTTTCTTACATACCGTTATATTGGCTGGGCCACAAAAATATTCATTATGGGCCGCATGTGGCCCACTGGCCACGAGTTTGACATGCTTGCTCTAAATGGAGTCCAATACAGTGCTCAATCACCAGTTAACCAGCACCCATCGCCAGGGTAAAGAAACCCGCTCTTTCTTAAAGTTACCACCTCCATTTTACCGATAGTGAATAATTAGACACTTTTTGCCAAGTGCCTGCTTACCGTCTTCATTGGATATCTAAGAATCATTTTAAATGTAATATATCTGAAATAAAATTCTCGATAATACCCTCACTGCTGATGTTCCTGTTGGTTTTCCTCCCTTTCTTGTTTCACTGTTTCCACTCTTTTACTTCTGCTCCCCAGTCACCTCCCTAATGCTAAACTGTTTGCACCTGAGCGCACCCTTCCTTTAGTCTCTGGTTTTGAGGAAACCGAAACTAAAACAGGTGATAGGAAAGGAGAGAGGATTTCTTTAAATATTATTACAACACTATTTCTTCTTCTTCTTTTTTTTTTAATCGTTTTTTAAAGTTCTCACCTGAGGATATTTTTCCATTGATTTTTAGAGAGAGTGGAAAGGAAGGGGAGAGACAAAGAGAGAGAAACATCAGTGTGAGAGAGACACATCAATTGGTTGCCTCCTGCCCACACCCCAACCAGGGCCGGGGATTGAGCCTGCAACCGAGGTATGTGCCCTTGACCGGAATGGAAACCCGGCCCCTTCAGTTTGCAGGCCGGTGTCCTATCCGCTGAGCCAACCGGCTAGGGCTAGAATACTGTTTTCAAGGGAATGATGAATGTAGCATGCACACAGCACAACTGACATCTACTTGGAAGGACAGACATGATTAAAGAGGCACAGAACCTGGTAACTGGTGGCGGGGGGGGCGGATAGCAAGGGAACTTACTCTTCACGGTGGCCTTTTCTCACTGGAATGCTTTTGCCTAGTTAGTGGTACTTACCTATTTTAAATGTCGACAGACATTGAAACCCAGGTTGAGCCAGCCCAGCAGGGAAATTGCCTGGTGCCTACATTTGGGGGGGCATGCTTTCCTTCGCCCTGGAATCTGCTTAAAGCCAGAACCACAATTAAATGGCCTTGTAAAGGAGCCCAAATACGGAAAAGACCTACTGAACTTGGTGGACAGAGTAACAAATAAAAGAGGATTTAGCTTATGTAAATAAAGCTCTATGGCTCTAACTGGGGGAGGAGAGGGAGTGCATTTCACAGTCTATAGGTGGTTAATGGAATAGGCTGCTACTGTGGTTCCCAACCCATATGCAGTCTCATTACCCTCAAGGCTTTTAGGGGTTTGGTCTGGAAGTGACGGAGAGGGTGGGAGGATGGAATCTCCATGGAATAATCAGATGATACTTTACTTCAGAATGTCTGCTACAAGCCAGTGTTTCCCAAAGGGTGGGTGGGACACAGGTATCTCTGGAGTCCAGGAGGTGACATTAGGTGGTCCTGACCCTCCTCCATGCCCTTTGGGGAGAAAGGGCTTGCCAGTGCTAGATGAGGCTGGCAGAGGGAAATATGGGTGAGCTGGCTCCCTTTGCCAAGGGAGGCCTGGCTCAGAGAGAAGGCTGCGCCCATCACCTCGATCAGGTTCAGAAATGGGGTGGGGGAGGGGCGACCTCGTCCATCCCAGCTCCCGGATGGAGGCAGGGAGAGAGCATCATGCTGCCTACCTTCTCTGGGTCTCATACTGAAAGTGGTGCTGTAGTTGGATACACAGAAAACATTATCCCAGAGGATGGAGGAGGGTAACTATCAAGGGTAAGTCTCTACAAATTATAAAGTTCAAAGCAATCATAGTCCACTCTGGATCTTAGTTAAATACATTCCTGCATTATTCTCAGACACCTCCCCGACCTTCTGCCAAGCTACCAGAAGGCCAAGACTACCATGCTGGTACTCTCGAGTTTTTAGTATTGGTCACCCAGCATTGCTGCCTTAGCTCCCTGGGTTCCAGGCTGTCTTTTTAAAATTATTATTATTATCTTTATTGTTGAGAGTATTACAGATGTCCTCCTTTTTCCTTCCATTGCCCCCCTCTACCTGGTTCCTGTCCCGCCCCAGGCCTTCACCACCCTCAGCCACAATACCCTGGTTTTTACAGCCCGAAGTTACAGGGATGTTGGGGGTCAGATGTAAGCTGGCAAGGTTCCTTCTAATAAAAAAATTAATAAAAAAAATAACAAAGGTTCCAAACAACCTAGACTATACCCTAAATGTAAAAAAAAAACAAAACATTGGGCAAATGAGTGTAAATCTAAGAAAACCATATAGGTAAAGGTCCCAGCCTTGCTAACCCCTGCAGGTGCAAGAACCTTGCCAGCTTACATCTGACCCCCAACACAGGGACTTCTCTTGCCAGCTCTGGAACCCTGGACTAGGGGTCTGGTGTGAGGCTGGGACCTCTTGCTTCTCAAAGGAGGCCTCCACAGTGGAGATATGCCTCCCGATTAAAAACACCCTACACGTGGGTGTCAGAACAGCCCGGCCTGCACCTCCGCCCCTCCTTCCAGGCTTGTGTGCTGTCTGCTTTACTTCTGCAGTTGTAGGACTTCCATCAGCCGGCTTTCAGGTGGTGCTGAATGATGGTTGTTCCGTGTTTCAGTTGTAATTTTGATGTGGTTGTGGGAGGCTTTTACCTGCACTGCCATCTTCATTCTCCCCTAAGCTGTCTTCTTATCTCAGACTGGGGGGTTCTGTTAGACCGCAGCTGACTCTCTCAATCCTTGGCCTCAGGCATTTTAACCAGAGTTCAAAGGGGATGCTAAATGGACTTCAGCAACAGGAAAGCTGTGTGGCGTGGTGGCCTGGTGACGTGGTGGGAGCAATGAGCCAGACCTCAGCAGAGCTAGATGTTAAGAGATGAGCAGCCATTAGATGTCAAGAACAGACGAGAAAATTGAAAGTCACCAAAGAGAGACCCTTAAAAGTCTGCAGGTAACAGCAGAGAGTGCTGGTTAGACAACAAAATCCAGATTCAAAGAGCACTCAGGTGGCTAGAATGTGAAGTCAAAACAGCAACATGGCATTTTAACATCATAAAAGTGCTTTTGCTTTTGGTATCACCATGCCAGAAGATATCATGGAAGACTCTTGGGTTGGGAACAATTTTAGGTGAAAAACATCTCGGGGTTTAGATTAGCACAGCCTCAAGGTGAGCCTACACTGTTAATGCTGAGCTACGGAGACTGAGATTTAATGGTTCTCTTGAATTCTACACGTCAGACCACATCTGAGCTATGTGGGTCCTGGTCTGGGTGTAACGACTGAGATGAGATCTTACCAGAAGGCACACAGATCCCCTTTCCTGAGCAGCCGTTCTGCACACACTGTGACTGTTGGCTGCTGACAGCTCACAGCTGTACCCTGCTCCTAGAAGTCCCTTGCCCAGCCCAGCCAGTGGGGTTCAGTGGTCAATCTATGAATCAGGAGAGCACATACCCGGGTTTCAGGCTCCATCCCCAGTATGGGGCATGTAGGAGGCAGCTGATCAATAATTCTCTCTCATCATGGAGGTTCCTATCTCTCTCCTTCTCCCATCCTCTCTGAAATATAGATATAATTTTTTTTAAAAAAAGAAGCCCCTTGCCCAAATGGGAAGCACTGTGCTCAGAAGGTTACCCTGATCCCCAAACTCTCAGAGCCAATGGCTGAGGGATACACAGTACAAAAGGCTGAGCCACATGTCTTAAGGTGGGATAACTCTGGGGTACCCTTCAGGCTTCAGAGCTGACCCGCATGAGGCTCATCTCCAACTGAAACCACATCCTTGCTCTGCTCTGTTCTCTGCCCCATCCTGTATCCCTTATGCGCGCGCGCGCATACACACACACACACACACACACACACACACACCTGGAAATCGCTTGCACTAGAATCCTGATCTCAGACTCTGCTTCTAGGGACTCTGACCTGAGAGAGAAGCACAGGGTGAGGGCTCTGAGAATCATATCATGTAAAGAGATGGAAAGGAGCTAAAATATTTAGTCAAGAAAAAAAAAGTGGAAATATGATACTAGTAAAACAGCTGCCCTCAAATATTAAAAGAAATAAAAATCAGACAATAGAAAAAGGAAAGGTTGGATAGAAATTAGACCAAGGCAGAATTTGGCTCAGCATCAGAAAGAACTCCCTAATAATCAGAGCTTTACAACATAGGTGTGGACTGCCTTACAAACTGGCAAGTTGCATGGGAAGTAGTCACCCAGCATCCAGACGACCATTGGTTAGTTACAGGACCATAGGGCAGTATGATCCTTAATGGCCATTTGTAAGCTTTCTGCCACAGGAGGACAAAGACCAGGAAAACCGTGCTGGACACCAGGAATCAGACCATATAAGGAACTGAAACTGTCCTACAGACACCTGATCGCACACCCGCATTCCATCCGCATTCCAAACCCACCGATAAGAGCTTTCTGCCAGTGACTGCCTATAAGGATGAAACTCCAGTTCCTGATGCTGTGCAGGCCTTTCCTTGGGATATGCCATCCTCCACCCCCTTTCCTTAAATAAATTCAATTTTTCGTTATCCACCATCTGTGATGGCTATTTAGCCTGCCCGGCACCATGTTAACCTTTCGGGATGGTGCAGGAGGAGGAACTGTGGGATGGCCTCATGGAGCATTTCATTGGACCAAAGGCATCACTCTAGTTGTCATTACTCTAAGTGGCCACGAGATGGCAGCAACATAATTCGCCGAGAGGTGATTACATAGAAAACTAGTTGTTTGCACAGATTTAACTCACATCTTCAGACGTTATAGGCGTTGGTGTGTATACATACCATCATATTTATGACACACAAACCTGAAAAGTAATAACATTTCCCCCAAACCTTCTATTTTACTTATTGGCAAAAATGGAATCGTAAAGGTAGAAAGAGGTAATAAACCCTGATCGTTCAGGCTACCCTGAGTCAGGGTAAATACACTTCTTTTATTCTGAGAATGATGCTACTTCTATCTTGTTACACGGGTTTCTAGGTCCAGCCATTGTGTACTTTCCAAGGGGTCTGTGTTTGAAATACGCTCCACAGTAGGGCTCCGTGTTAGGCCTCAGCCTGTGCTGGTCTATGGTACTCAGAAAAACATCTCCCTGTGACTCAGAGTCTACAGGATGGGGTGCTGGCACAGAGGGCCTGACTAACAACTCGGTGGGGAGCCCAAATATACCTGGGATTTCATGAAGCATATCAGAGTCCTGTTTGCAACCTGAGGCCAATTAACCCCACCAGGCCTACAACACTGCCATGTCTGGTCCCAATTGTGGTCGCCAGCCTCCAAGATGAACACTCCCTTCGCCCCCCCCCCACCCCCGCCCCAGATCCTTTTGTCCTGGCATCTATGCGCTGCCATCCACACTGAATCATGGCTGGTCTGTGTGAATAACAGGACACTGTGGATGTGATGGTGTATGTCTTCTAGACTAGGTCATAAAAGACACTGCATCTCCCACTCTGGATCACCCACTCTGGAAGAAACCAGTTGTCCCATTGTTAGAATATTCTAGAATATTTGTGGCGAGCTCCTTGTGGAACGGTTTTAGGCCTCCTGCCAACAGCCAGCACTGACATGAACGAGCCGCCTTGCTTGCTAGGTCTCTTAGCCTTACTTAATGCTACAGATGACCACGGCCTGGCCAACATTTTCACTGCACCTCATGAGAGACTCCAGGTCTGAACCACCCAGCTGGGCTGCTCCTGAATTCCTGACCCACAGAAGCTAGGAGATAATAATGTTGTTGTTGTTTTAATGACTGTTTACTGTTGTTCTAAGCTACTAGTTTTGCAGTAATTAGCTATGTAGATAATGAATAGAACTCCCCAAATGCCAGCTTCCTCTCTATACTCTGGCTGCTGTTCGCCCCACTCAGGCTAAGTAGCAATAACCTGCTAACTTGGAAATGCAGCAGACACGTTCCAAGCCTTGCATTACTGAAACTCTGCTTTAACCTGCAGCGGGGATCTCCCTGAGAATTCCTACTTCCTGGCTTCCAAGACACCGTAGCGTACGACTTGGTGCTAGTGATTTTCTCTTTGGAGTCTTCCGTCCCCCTCAAAGAGACTTCTTTCTCACATGACATGTAAATGTTGGTGTTGCGTTAGAGCCTATTCTTTGTGCCCTTCCTTTGACCCTGAACCAACTCTGTGCGTCATCTTGCTGCTCCCCTGGCTCCAATGACTGTCACTCTGCAGAGGACCATCAAATCTATTTCTCCAGCCCACATCCCACTGTGAGCTTAATACCCTCCCACCCAGCAGCCTGCGGGCAGAGGTGCGCTGGAGCCCACTCACAGCGACTCTCAAGAGCCAACTGTACAGCATCTCTTCCCAACTCGGTATTTAGCAATGCCACGTTGGTAGGCTGAAACCAGCCAGGATGGTAGGAGTATTTACACCATGGCATTCAATAAATGCTACCAGTCAGGGCTTTGTGAAGGGCCAGTGAATAAACACGTTTTAGCACATAGCTGGTCAACCAGATGCTTCTGCCTTCTGTGCTACAGCCACCTGTCCTCCTTCCCTTTCCTTGCACACATTAGGAATCCTTCTGCCTCAGGGCCTTTGCTCTGGCTCCTTTGTCTGCCCACATAACCCATGGTTCAGTTGCTGATCTTTGAGTCTTTGTTCAAATGTCATTTCGCAGTGAGACTTCCCTGACATCTCCATTTAAAATTGCAACTCTTGCTGGGCTGGTGTGGCTCAATGGTTGAACCAGGAGGTCACAGTTCTATTCTCAGTCAGGGCACATGTCCGGATTGCCCACTCTATCCCCAGTAGGGGGCATGCAGGAGGCAGCCGATCAATGATTCTCTCTCATCATTGATGTTCCTATCTCATTTTCCCTCTCCCTTCCTCTTTGAAATCAATAAAAATATACTTTAAAAAAACAAAACTCAGAAATCCTGGGAGCATCTGGATGAGGTGGGGAAGGAGTGAGATTAGGGAGATTCAGACAGAGTCGTCTGTATTCACTTTTCATATGTCCAATAGACCCTCTGTGGACTCCAGGACCTCTAACTCCCAGATTAGCACTTTCTCCATCACTCCACATGCTTGAAGGAGTGATCCATTTTCAGATCTAGTTCCTTGAAAGCACCAAATACTTCATGGACCATCACACTCCTGTCCAAGAAGTATGAGCTGTATCTGTATCGAGTTTTCAAGAATCCCATCAAAACAGAAAGTAGCCCATGTTATTGTCCCAACTCTACCAGTCATCTGGGTCCCTGTCCCTTCTATAGCTCAGTGTTGCATTTCCCTTTCAACATAAAGGGAGGAGTTGATGCCTGTTGGATCTTTCCTTTTATGACATCTCATTGGTTTTGTCTCAGGTATATTATTCTGTAATTTCAGGCTGGGCCCTACGGGTATTTCTGAAGTATAATGGTGTGGTTTGTGAGTGGGTGGGTATGCATGCAGGGATGGTCTGTGGCTTTGAATCTGAAGTTTAACTGGTAATAATAATAATTGTTAATAAACAACTTGGATTAATATCATCACATTTTATTGATAAAAATAATAACACTAAGGTATCATTATTGAGTGCTTGTTTTTTGCAAGCCACTAAATTAAATTGAGGTAAGAAGCATGCAAGGGTAAGGAAATCAATCACAGAAAGTTAGTGATGGAGCCAGGATTCAAACCTGGGCAGACTGACTCAAAAGTCCATTCTGTTCTTTACAAACCATCTTGCATCCTCATATTCTCCCCCTTCCATAGCTCTTGTTTCTCTTCAGTAATGGTTCCCAATTCTTTGCTGCCTCAGCTCACCAGATGGATGATACTTCCAAGCCCATCCCCAGTTTCTCACGTGTCCTGCACACTTCTCTGTTGGCTTGACTCCA